TAAGCTAATGCTTGTGTGGATCCATACACTATCATTATGCTAATCCTTGTGCTAATCATTATGCGGATATTCATGCTAATCCTTATGCTAGTCCTTATGTGGATCCTTAAGCTAATCCTTATGCTTGTCATCACGTTTTTCCTTATGTTAATCCTTATCATTGTCCTTATGCTAATCCGTATCGTGGTCCTAATGATAATCTTATCCTTGTCCTTATGCTAATCCTTATGCTAATCCCTGTCACTGTCCCTGTTCTTGTCCTTGTCCTTGCCCTTGCCCTGTCCTGTCCTTGTCCTTATGCTAATCCTTATGCGGAGTCTTATGCTAATGCTTATGTGGATCCTTATGCTAATCCTTATGCTTATCCTCATGCTTATCCTTATGCTAATCCTTATCATCGTCCTTATGCTAATCCTTGACCTTATCCTTATGCTAATCCTTATCCTTGTCCTTATGCTAATCCTCATCCTAGCCCTTATGCTAATCCTTATCCTTGTCCAGATGCTAATCATTATGCTAATCCCTGTCCCTGTCCCTGTCGCTGTCCCTGTCCTTGTCCTTATGCTAGTCCTATCCTTGTCCTTATGCTAATCCTTATGCGGATCCTTATCCTTGTCCTTATGCTAATCCTTATGCGGATCCTTATGCTAATCCTTATGCGGATCCTTATCCTTGTCCTTTTGCTAATCCTTATCCTTGTCCTTATGCTAATCCTTATCCTTGTCCTTATGCTAATCCTCATCCTTGTCCAGATGCTAATCCTGATGCTATTCCCTGTCCCTGTCCCTGTCCCTGTCCCTGTCCTTGTCCTTGTCCTTATGCTAATCCTTATCCTCGTCCTTATGCTTCTCCTTACGCGGATCCTTAAGCTAATCCTTACGCGGATCCTTATGCTAATCCTTATGCGGATCGCGATCCTTGTCCTTATGCTAATCCTTATCCTCGTCCTTATGCTAATCCTTATCCTTGTCCTTATGCTAACCCTTATGCTAACTCTTGTCCCCGTCCCTGTCCCTGCCCCTGTCCCTGTCCCTGTCCCTGTCTTTCGTTCTGGGTCTCGGTCTCGGTCTCGGCCTCGGTTTTGGGTCTGGTTCTGGGTCTGGGTCTGGGTCTGGGTCTGGGTCTGGGTCTGGGTCTGGGTCTGGGTCTGGTTTTGGTTCTGGTTCTGGTTCTGGTTCTGGTTCTGGTTCTGGTTCTGGTTCTGGTTATGGTTCTGGGTCTGGGTCTGGGTCTGGGTCTGGGTCTGGGTCTGGGTCTGGGTCTGGGTCTCTCTCTCTCTCTCTCCTCTCTCTCTCTCTCTCTCTCTCTCTCTCTCTCTCTCTCTCTCTCTCTCTCTCTCTCTCTCTCTCTCTCTCTCTCTCTCTCGTTCTTCGCACCAGCTCTGCACGAGCCTCGAGCCTCGACCAGACAGCGATGTTGACAGGCCGGGCTGTCGTGGCTTAGTCGTTCAGCAAGGCAAGTCGCATGCTTTTAGCGCAAAACAAAAACTCGTTCACAAGCAAAAAGCTTTTAGATCCTCGGGCGATGCATTAGACCTAAACTGACGCATGCTGTTTCGAAGAGCTCGTCCAGGCGCCAATAAAAGTGATAGCTAACTGACACGCGAAAACACATCTTATCTAAGCCATTTTTAGATGTTTCCCAGCTTGTAGAAGTTGGACATTACTGGTATGTTGGCGAAGTGACTCTATCACACAAAAGCTGGTCGAGATAAATTTAAAAAATTGCACAAGGGCGACGCTGCGAAAGACACACATTTAGAGCGTCTACATTTAATATACCAAAAACATTTCACGGGAAGGCCCAACCAACTTAAGCACAGAATTCATTTGCGCAAGAAAATTTATTTGCGCGCGGTCTTAAGAGCTTTCTAATGCCAACATAGTACTGCCAGTTAATTGCCAGGCGAAGCAATCGTGTATCCCTAATGGGTTAGTGAAATCCTAAGAGGTCTAACTGTTTTGAACTTGGCCTTGGAACATCTGTAACGATAGTACAAATGAACGATAATGGCATTGGTATAAGTGGCAGACCGGGCCGTAGGTCTCTAATGCCTCAAATTGTTCAGATAAACCTGACCCATCTCGAATGGTCCTCAGCTAGGCAGAGATTGCGATCCGCCGTTCATCTGTCAATCTCGAGGCTTTGACTACAGCACCAAGCCGCCGTGCCATTGCGTATACAAGTGCTCAGCACAAGTGTGAAACACGGCACGCCAGTCCCCCCCCCCCCCCCCCACACCTTCATCCGGGTCATCTGAACGGGTGACTGCCGGCAGGCCGGCGCTCTCGCTCACACAACAGCGTCAGAGTTATTGGCGTCGACGGACCGGATGATCCAAACAGGCAATCAGCAGCGGCTTTAAGCAGACCGTTTCGGCGCCAAACGAAGCAAATCCAGCTGACGAAATTGGATGTACGCAGCTTTGCATTTTTTACGTTAGGAGATAGGCGCTTTTGAATGTGACACGTCAGCGTTCAGAGCCTCCAAAAATACGGGTCAAGCCCGCGTTCTCATTTTTCATGAAATTGAAAAAGGTGTTGTGGGTCTGGCATGGTTTTCGTCCACGTTAATAAATTTGAGACCGATGAATTTGCATTGACTCATAGTCTTAGCAATTATGAAAAAAGCTTTCCAAACTGTGCTCACATGTGGCGAATGAACAATTGCCCGAGCTATTGTCTTCGTCAAGTGTGTTAGCATCTATATCAGATGTAGGTACAAATAAGTGTTCGCACGCTGCAAATTGGATGTAGATACAATGAACTTAACGAAAACGGCATTCCTAGCACTTAGTCCATCCGTCATACTACTACCTTGCTCAATGTTTCCGTAAAACTGCAATCTCTCGGTTTGGGTAGTAGCGTATTTTTTTACGCGTAACAGCGTAACAGGCAGACATATGGTTTGCGCGCGATGCGTGATAGTCTGCCCACACCGGCCCACACTGCTCCCAGCACGGTTGCCCTCGCGTCTTCTCCGTAAACACTGGTTAGTCATGTGTCGCTGCGACGGCCGTTCGCCGAGATCTGGATGCATTCCAGCCTGTGCTTTTCACATTTTTCGGTGAATTGAAATGTTTGGTTTAACAGCTGGATGAAATATTGATGATATATAGCACTGCAAAGATAGGCCGCCCGATCTTACAGCTTGCACTGATGTGTCCTGAAATACTGACTCACAACTTTTAGGGTACTATGCTGTTTATAACCGCAAATTTCATAACGCACGACAGAAGGTTTCAGGGATGTGAGCCCGTCGATCTCGTGACGGTGAAGTCGTGACTCGCCGAGGCTGGCGGGGTCGCTGATGCCGCGATATTGCAGATGAGTTGACGATCACACTCCCTCACCCTGGGGTCTTGCTTGAAAAACTTAAACACGCGCGCTGATGGAGGTTACTTTGATCTCCACCCGAAGGCTGTTCCAGAATCATTAAAAAAACAATGCGGTGTAGTCGCGCGACACTTCACATGGCTGCAGGCAATTTAACATCCGATCTTTTGGTATAAAACTATCGGATGTGCCCCGTTAGTGCGATGACCTATAGCACGTCAAAGTCAGGCTATCACTGTCAGCGAAAGTAAGTCCTGGGGAATCGTTCAATCTGATGCGACAAGAGAGCGTCCAAAGAAGTCATTCAACTTTGAGATGCTTATTTTAAGACAATTAGGCAATTTAAACTATGATTACGGGTAGCTCCATTGACCTTGGGTCGGGTATAACGGTCAGCTTACGTTTACACCAAAATAATTCATTGCTGGCACATTTGCTTCGTGCGATATTTTTCAGCTCATTTCGAAATTCCTGACCAAACCGATAACAGACAATTTTGGTGGTCAAGAGAGGTCACTGGCCTACAATGACCGCGATCAACCTTTTGCTTTAAAGAACGGGCGTAGCGTGGTTCCCGACGCTGATTCCATATTGACATATCATACCAATATAAATTTTTTCCGGTAATTTTGGCAATCTAAAGGTCAAATAACGTTACTGACCCCTCTTCATACCAGTTATCTTATGTTTAGAAAAGATATCCAGGTCAAAACCGGTGGCGTGAGGTGGTCTGAGCGCACTCCGGACACCAATATAAAGTTCATCTTACTTGACCTTATTCAAGCCTTAGGTTTCGACCTAGGAATCACAAAACTTGACACAACTGGTCAAATATAGAGCGCCATATAATCTCTGAGTTTGGTGTCTCTAACCCTCCTACTTTTACTTTTAGCTCCATTTTAAGATTCTACGGGTCTAATTGCCACCTCCACTCTCCACCTGAGCGTGTCTCATTTGCCGGCCACCCGGGCGCGCTAGCACGCTATCGGGTGGGGACCAATTTGACCCTGAAAGCTTTTCCCAAATGATTTCCAAACGGCGAGGCATAGCATGGCCAATGCACTTGTTTAAGAGGTAGTTGTTGGCGCCCATTTGGAATTTCTTGATCGCGGTTCGTCAATAGACAATCACAGGTAAGCCAACAGAGGTTGACCTGGTTTGACCTTATTTGACCCGAAAATAATAACCTAGGGATCTTGAAGTGTGACACAGTTTCATATATAGGCACAACTACGCTCTGAATTTGGTGCCTCCAGTTCTTCTAGTTTTTAAAATATTACTTGGGCGTTAAGCTGACCTCACCACCAGAGCGTGCAGAATTCAATGGGCTATTCGGATACTGCAAGTAACTATCACAGTTGTGAAGAACAATTATCTTCCAGTCTCAGTTTCCTGTGAGCTAGTGTTCACAGAAAGGCTTGCCTTCTACAAATACACTGCTGGCAATTCCGGCCTGCAAAACTACTGTATTTTTCATCTTCGATGACTTTTGGTCAGTGAGCACAACTTACCAAATTCGCCTGGTTGATACCTGGAACTCACATCAGCCAGAAAGCTAACGTTCGGAACAGATCCCGTTCCGTTGGTTGCTGTCTGAAATGCTTAAGTCCGTGGCTGCTGGCTGATGTATATGACTGGCCCCAGTCAGGAAGCTCGCGTACTGACCTCCGCTGGCTGGTTGACGGCGATCTGGCTGGGTTCGATCTTCTCCATGTCGATACACTGTTGTCCGGCATCGATCGTCAGCCAGCGGGGAGAGCTGGAGAGGGCCTTCTTGCACTCGGACCGCACCGTGCACCTGAGACAAAGGACGACCGGTCACTACCCAGCTAAATGCCGCGCTCCCCGCATCCGGGCCTCCACGCGGAGAGAGAACTTGCGCCAGCCACCGTTGAATGCATTGGTGGCTGGCAGCCATTGTGAGCGCACATTAATATGTTCGCGCATATTAAACGGCTGTCCCACGACCTGGTCGCGGTGCAAAGGCGTGGTCATCCTCGCATCAGCTGTAAGGGACGGACGAAACTGTTGGACATGTTGGAAAAACATGTAATTAGACGACACGGACCTCGGTGGGGATGAGACGGGGTGACTTTGAATGTCTCAGAAACCCCCGTTTTGAGCTCACAAAGCTACGGACGCTAAGAAAAACACATTGAAATGGTGTTTACGACAAGGACCGGATCGAACGCAAACACATTAAAATCCCATCAGCAATCCAAACACGATGACTGATCACATGCCATTTCCCTCGCGCGCTTGGTATTTGTAAGACTCAGAATCAAAGCTCCTGTTGCTGTGCTGCTGCATTCCTATGTTTATGTCTTTCCTTTGAATTAAGCCCATTTGCCCGAACAATTAAACGCAAATAACACGACGAAATTAAAAAGGGCTGCGCAATATTCGAACTGTGCATTTCTACCAGGCGGAGTCGGACTGACTTATCCCTTTTGTTGAAGATTCTCATTCCAGGGAAGGGTAAGTGCTTGGTGACCTTGCTTTAATTAGTACTTTCATCAATATTTTCCCGTGGGCAGACCTCAATCAGAAATGTGGGGTAGGAAACCTTACCGGGTACATCTGGCGGCTTTACATTGCCTCAACTCGCACTATGTCACACAACGCCAGGCGTCGTGAAATGACTGGACCACACGTTCTCGCCAGGGACGATGTCGCTGTTGCGACACGGAAGACACCCTGACCCGGGGGACGTCCCGCTCCGTTCGCCCTCGTTATCAGAAGTCAGCTTCGCGTTCACGCCTGCCGACAGCCGCCGGAAAATAAGCTCTTGTCTCGCCGCCTTATCGTCCAAATCTAAAAAGCATTACACAGTTCCGGTCGGCAGATCGGCGCCAGATCGCGCGCATTGATTACCTCATCCGGGCCGAGTGACGTCATCTGTTGTGCCGTCCAGTCACGGAGTGGAACGACGTCGGGGCGGAGGGAGAGAGAGGAGCGCGCGCGGCAATAAGGCCGAACAGGACGTCGAATCTGATATCGATCACATTTGAAGTGGGCATGCTTCGTTAACGGCGGCTCGCGCTGGATTTGAATTGGGGCCCATTGTGTCGGGCGCGGACGTGGAAGTGAACAGCGGACGTGATTTCCAGAGTAAACAATTTAACGGATCGAAAACATCCGCTGTTCAGTGCCATGTGGGAAGCGCGGCAATCGTTTGATCGGGTTCAATTATTAAACGCGCAAGTGAATTCTTAACAGGCGGTCCGGTGCGTGACTGGTGGCTTCGGAGCCCATACAGACGAGATTATGGCGCGTCTCATCAAAGACCCTAACATGCTGTAGGGATTTCGTCCCAACTTAATCTCATTACTCCCCCTCTTCTCTTAATCAGCAAGCCTTCCCTTCAAAAAGGATTACGATTGGGCCATGATCAGGGACAACTGCAAGGGATTTATCCGTCGCGTAATGAGACCAAAACCTCTCAATCCGGAAGAGAGTGCAAGCTGAGATTTTCCTAAAAAAGATCGCAGCTTTCATGACCATGAAGCACAGGAAACGACATTTCGCTTCATTTGTAGCCATTTTACACATGGCGCCCCTATGGCGACATCTCCAACCGATCCACTTTCTGCTGACAAAAGCATGTCATCGAGACCGTGAGATAAGACTATAGAGCATTCTGGCTGTCCCGCCGCTGCCACGGCCAGGGATGATCAAATTCATAAGGGAAGGCTTGAAGAGGTGCTAAAACTATGTGCCAGAGCCCACTGAATGACGGCAGCTCTGGAGAGAGCTGCATGGGGAGGACGCTAGCCATCCTGGGCCATTTACAGCAAAGGGCAAGGTAAGACAGCAGTAATAGCCTTATTCCTCAGAGAAAAAAAAACAGGAAAAAGGCGACATAGATGGGTTGATATTTCGGCAACATGCCTTTATTGAAACAATAGCAGACATTTTCTGTTATTGCTACGATAATTTGCGATTATGACGTACTTTCTGCTGACAAAACACGTCATCGAGACCGTCAGACATGATTTTAGAGCTATCTTCCTGTCACGCCATTGCCACGGGCAGGGATGATTAGTTTCATACGAAACAACATATATTGACTTCTGCTATTGTTGCGATAAAGGCAAGTTGCCGAAATATCAGCGCATCTATATCTCCATTCTCCTGTTTTATTTCTCTGAGGAATAAGGCTATTAGTATTGTCTTATCTATGTGAATAATGCTCCTCGCAAATGTATTAAACAGCTTACGAGTTACAAGGCCCTGTTTCAACGAGGCCCTTCGTGCACAGTGTGCCTATACTCCGAGTGAAGAATTTGGAAAGCGTTCATGACTTGTGGAACCGCGCATTTTGTCAGTTCACGGAACGCTGCTGGATATTTAAGCTGCCGGTCACCACTGACGAATAAATGATATATGTGAGCGTTATAACACGCTAGGCACTCGTGTATACCAAAATGTGCCTAAAAGGTACCACGCAACCTGTCCACGGCTCCAAATAGCGAGCGTGCTGCTGAGTAAACAACTGTCAAGAATGTCATGAAATGTGACTGCGAAAGAAATTCACCATATTTTTCTAAACTGTTGATGATACCCCGCAAGATACACTCGCGTAACACAGGTGAGCGCTGACCTTTTTTCCAGGGAGCACCATCCGCAGTAGGGGTCTGCGGGTTCCAGACATTGAGCGCAGTTGGTGTACTCCTCGCACGTCTGCATGCTCATCAACGCCACCTGGAAGGAGCCAAGACAAGTCATGTGGGATATCCAGTCCTGCATCAGAACGAGCTTCCTTACCAGCGCTCGGCGGATGCCCCGAACTCTCTTGCAGAATTATGACAGGACAGTAATCATTCATCAGGGCACTAATTCCCAGAGAAAGTCAATGCAGACCAATGCTTTATCCCGGAGCATTTTCTATTGTAGCCCAGC